AAATACCAAAAATATTATTTTTGTAATGAACATTTGGCTAGGTTATGTTTAGAACTTTTCGACTAATTATAAAAATTCTATATGTATTGATTTTAAAAATTGCACAAAGACTTGTTTACCGCGCAATGCCGTAGTAAACAACTAGTATCTACATAATATCCGAACACGTGTACTCTCGAATACGAGGAGTCGAATTCAAGGATTAAGAGAAGCCTGATAAAATTAGGATCAGTAGGTACATAATCGATTTTATGTACGGTCACGCGATCACGATTTGTAAAGAAGTATTAAAAAATGCTTAGATAAAGTTATTCGGTTTCACGAATATATTCAATATTTAAATAATAATTTTTCAAAAATGTTCTTTACATCTGGGTCGGTAACAAGCACATGACACCCCTAGTGTATCGCAGATGTTCATAGACTACAGTGATCGTGTACCATCACACGGACTACGATTGTTTGCCATCCTTGTAGTATAAATAATAATAATAATAATCCACAAAACTAACCATACGTCCGGATCGACCATCTAAATGTAAAAAAATCTGGAGCCTAAACTAAGCCGTAATATGTATAGATACTCTTTGAGATTATCTGTCTATCTGATAATCTGTCTGTATTATAGGATTCACGATTATTCATGACATTTTTAAATGTGTCACTACTCTTTTTTAATCTTAGAGTGACTAGAACTACAGAGCACATCAGTAAAAGAAGGAAACCTTGAATAAAATTCTATACTGTTTGTTGTCTGCGTTTGTGTTTGACATAGATGATAGGGGTTTATTGGGGTTTTAAAGAACCCGTGCCCAACATGCCAGGCATATCCACTTGGGTTTCTATTACTGTTTGCTATTCACAGTAAATATGTAAAAGAATTATGTTTTATACACTTTATAACAATTACCTAATCTGCTTTTTAAAGTTCTACGAAACAAACAATTTTGTGAGCTTTTTTTCTATCTCTTACTTTAAAAAAAAGAATTAGTAAATTCACATATTCATCTGTATGAAATTTAATTTAATTTTTTTTTTATTATCGCCCATCTCTAGATACGTAGTTGAATGAATTAAGCGGATTACCTATATTTAACAGTGCGACATCATATAGGCGCGGGATTTAATTATTATTAATTACACGCTCTAGGCGTACGCTAATAAGCTTGAGGTATTAACTTAATCCTTTCAACTCTTCATTCGTTGTCGACCTTAATTCACTTTCGGTTTTTCATTAATATATTCGCTAAACCAATTTTCCAGCTATCTTCTGAATATTTATGCAACGCGTTCTAAATTTAAACGTACGAAACAGAGCTCTGTCAAACATTGATTATGTACCATGTTCCACATGCAGTCAGCAAAGTTTTGTTGATTTAATAATGTTATTAACAGAGTAATTTTAGAGTTTACTACCTATTTTGAATGACCCATCCAAGAAACAGAAATAAATAAAATTTATTCTTTTTGTATACCCTGAGTGTAATTAGGTATATCATAATTCGTAATATTAAGTAAAATAAATTTCCAAAACCATAAAACGGACAGATTTTAAATGTGGAATTTTATACCTTCATAACAGAACATTCTTCTGTGATTAAAATATAAAAAGGTTTTTTTTAAAACTCTCGCTTTTTTTAAATTATGTTACACCTTATTTATAGAAATGTAGCGTTCATATTAGGAGAATGAACAAAATTCATCGATTTTTTTAAATTAATCTTAAATGTGCACTTGTTATTTTATGAAATCGCGAGCACAAATATTAATTTTAATTTAAATAATAAGTTAATGATACAAAATAATCATATTTTCATTCCTCATCTTTCTTTCATTGACCAAAATCTACATTATACACAATTATCTACGAGTTTATACTGTTAAGACTACGAATACAACGTTTTGTTCTCAATTACATTCTTTTTTAATTTTTCCAACAAACTGTAGGAACTCCATCAGCATAATTGCATTGCCATATGAGTATCGTTTACATATGTATGTAAACTACTTTGCAAATTAGTTTTACAAACAGATAACTATAATAATAACTTTTTAATCCATAAAATTACTTAATATGTATTCATACAGTATGATAGTTTTAATGTTTGCAGTTTTTGACTGATTTTTTTTTAAATTAGGTGACATAGGTAACCTTATTGTTAATTTATATCTAGAAAATACCTCAATATTCAAGAAATTTTAACTATGATTATGACAAAAAAGATATAATATTTCAATCGTGTAATTGTACAAATTGTTTAATTAAAATATTAACTTTAAATGAAAACAAAACCGATTACAATAAGTAACACATTTTGAAGCTACGTTAAAATGTGAAATAAAAGCATTATGCTCTTCACATTTTCTAAATGAGACCACGAACACGTATATTAAGATTGTCTTTGTTCTTTTTACGAAACGTGTTACCACCGGTTGTCTTTATTTTACACAAACTTTACACGTCCTACGAACTAATTAAATTGTAAGAAATGTACGAACAAAGCTAAAAAATAGATTTTTGTTTGTAACTTAGAATAACAAACAAACTGACGACCCACCTGATGGAAAACGGTAACCGAATATAATAATAATATATAATAAATATTATAATAATATAATGAACATATTTTCAATTATTACGTAATAAATTGAAAAATAAAAAATACACTTTAGTGGATTGGCTTTTGATGTTATCGAATTGAGACCAAATCGAAATCAGATCGAATAAATGTCAAATGGTATAATTATAATGCCCATCTTATGTCTATTTGATGTGATTTGATCTCAATGCGATTACATCAAAAGTCAGCCTGAATATTATATTTGAATTTATTTGGTTTGGTTGGTATGATTCTCACGAAGAGGTTAGGCATATAAAGTAATAAAAAATCTAAAATTATTCATACGTAACCATCAGAAACAAATATTTAAAAAAAACCTTTATAATATGATAATTAATAAATGTTACTGTAACTTAAATGAATATATTAATGGTGACTACAAATAATTATCATTTATTGAAAAGATTGTCTCATTTTAATTTGTTTTGTTTTACTATATAATTTTGTAATGTTGTGTTCTATCTATTGTTAAATAATGCATATAGTTGATTTATAATTGCTTCATATAATATATTGTATGCTTATAAAGCACTCCATGGAGATACTATTTGATTGATGTAATACCTTAACCTGACCTATGATCCACAATAAAAACATTTGTATTTGTATACGCTTCTCAGATGTGACGTATTAATGGTATCAATTTTTCATCAAATTAAAAATAAAAATACCCTACTACGCTATCTTTTAGTAATTCATAACCTCAGATGAATTATTGTATATAGTTCCGTAACAATTAATCAACGTCAATAATATGTCAAAAAAATATTGCGATCGCCTGCGAAGTATAATAAAACATAAAAGCTCTGAGAAAAGAAAATGTATAAATTAGTTACAAGTGACGTCAAGAGTTGCAGGGGTACATTAAATTAAGGATAATTTTTTACCTAGAAATATGTATAAGGTATATACTCTATGATACATTATCTCAGAATTTAAACGATTATACTAAAACCTTGTCAGATTTATATATTTTGTTCCAGTGATAATTAGCTAATTCCTGCCCGTATATTAAAAATAAGTAAAATATGTTCTGCAAAAAAAAAATTCAGGTACTTCAATCGTGACAAAATTAATATTATTAAGAGGTCCGGATTATCCTGGAACTATTAGATCATTCTAAACTAATATACATACAAGTAAATCGGATTAATCTTATAGTTAAAATAATAGAGGATCAATACGGGAATAAATGAACGAGATATCGCGATACAGAATACAAATGATTAGAAAACCTGTATTTGTTCGAAAAGTACTAAAGTAGTTTAAAAGTACTATCACCTTAATGTAAACTATTCAAAAATATCTATACCAAGTAGCACTTATTTCAGACAGCTCTATCAAGGAATTAAGCTTTGTAATATACCTTATCTTTAAATTATATTTTTAATCTATACATTAAATTAAAATAAATAGACGAACAAATTCTAAAAATGAAAAGTGGACAATAGCAGTTCAAACAATTAGGAGTACCCTACCTACTTGAAATCCTTTTTACAAAATCTAACCTTTTTAAGGATTATGTTTTGTTTAAGCTTCATTTTTAAATAACTGATACTAAACTGGAATTGTACAGGCAGCCAGTTGAATGTGAACATTTTACGTCGTTTCATATGAATGTAAAAGAAATTTGCACATTAATTAATGCACAGCCACATCAGAGGGTTAAAGTGTAATGCGTCTTTAGTCAGTGATCGTGCAGATTATCTTACCCTTCAGATAAATAAAAAAAAAAATTGCACTCGTTATTTAAAAAAAACCATTACTAGATAATAATTAAATTATTTTTTTTACTATATGATATTACGTATTTTATGTCTTAATAGGTTTGGGTACAATACATAATCGATCTTAATACTAAATTTCTACTTTTATTTACGACTTTACCATATTTTATATAATAGCATAAATCTCCTTTTAGCAGATCATTTTTAGTAGATGCCTTAATAATTGGTATACAATAAACTTTAATCTCATTGGTCTACTACTGTTCAGTATAGTTGTATTATTATAATTTTTGGGATAATAAATAATCTATCATACTGTAATGAACTCTAAAATCTCTCAAAGTCAAAAATGAAGTAAATTTGTGGTAGGTAAGTTTTCAAGTAGCATATATAAAATTGTTTGAACAAGTAACATCGTCTGTTAGCCTACGTCATAAGTGGCGACGACCAAGAGCATCTGTATCCAGCCGCATAGTTCGGAAGACTCCCGTCAGGAATGCGAGCACGGTGCCCGTGACTGGCGGCCCCCTTGCCTACCTTCCTCCGCCCAACTTACCGTATGCCTTTGTGTGCACGCCACTAACTTTGCAAATTAACCCTTCAACACCTTCACGGTCGATATAGAAGGTATATCCATAAATAACACAGCCGATTATTTTATAAAGATATTTTAATAAACATTTTTCTGTAAAATAGATTAATTAAAACTGACATTTACAACAAACAACTATAAAATTCTTTGTATTCTCCCTCTAACACTAATTACGTTAATAGGTCCTGTTTATATTTGGAATTGATCTCTAGTATAGCCGAATGAAAGATTCACGCGGCGCGGTCGCGCCGGCGGCTAACGTTCGGCGTTGTCTTACTGCTTACAACATTTCGTGTAAACGATAACGATTTGAACACGTACCATATCGTATCACACGAGGATGGGGGGACGCAGGTCGTAATTAAATATATTAGACTAAATACATACAATTAATTGTCGATACACATATTAATAACTATTAGCGAACGATTAACTCGATGCCCACTTATTGAAATATGATTTTGAGTCTACTTTATAGAGTGATTTATAAAAAGAAAAGATTTAACAATAATATGAATTGTAAATGACTATAATAAATCACAACTTATTTAAATAGTTTTTAATTCAACAGCATTCCGCGATTTGGCGTTTTAGGACCAAAAATAATTGATACGTCACCAAGATAATGATACTATATTAGTTATTAAAAAAGGATAGCTTTGTGTTCATTTTGGATAAAATATATTTTCGTACAAAATTTTGTACAAATTTATTCAGTTATCAACATTTGTACAAACATTCACATTTATATTATTAGGAATCAATAAGAATATATATTGCATTGAGAATGGCAGATAAGTTGACAGTCCATTAGTCCAATAACGTCGAGGAGAATAGAGAATATATATATTGTTTCGTCATCCTTGCAGCTCCTATATTGTCATATCCATGAACTAATGCGTTATGCCTTTTATTTCGGTGATTGCATTGACTATTCCACTCTTCAGGCCCAAACAACAACGCGCGCCTTCTATTTTATGGAACAAATAAGCAAGATATCAGTTATTTATATGTATATATCTTTGGGCGGTTACTTTTGGAATTGACCTGTTCTTCCAGACTAGTAGTAAATGAATTTAATGATAGATACGTTATAGGTGCTCCATACATGAGATAAGAAATAGTAATGATGTGTTGTTATTTGACGTGTGTGTGCTGACGAAAACGTATCTATCGATATATTAGTTTGTTACTAGACTAGGTGGATTGAATTCATGCTCTTCTATAATCTTTTAATGGCACAGCGCCACCGTTAATATAAACCAATAGAGAGACCGAGTTACCATTCCATTTTCACTATCGAGTAACTTATTAATTGCACATAACTTATATTTTGAGTAGCACTTAAAAGCTTTAGAGTTCGGAAACTTCACGGGAATTGTATAAAGGCATCAAATTTTAAAAGCAGGTGACGTGTACATTGTTGAGGCGTTGACGGGTCGGAAATTTCCGATAAGTGGGCACCGAACATCGCGTCTCACATTAACATTATTCGTAACACGGAACAGCAAATGGGCATTCCTCCACAACAGACAACTGTATATAAGTGCTTTAATTAAATAATTGTGTAAATATACATATTTGTTGTATACATTTTTTCGACCTCTATCTATTAACTTGGGTAATACTGGAAATGAGTTTTGGCAACATTGTTGCGATTTTTATTAAGAAATTTCGACATTGTAACCAAGTGATTTGTATAAATAGTAAAATTTAAGAAAATAATCAATATTATTTATATTAAAATGTATTTTGATCAAAATTATTGGCATTTAATATGTTTAGAATTAATTTCAGTTAATATTCAAAAAGTATCTTATTACAAAACAAATATGTGAACCAAACATATCAAAATTGAGTAGAAGCTTTTACATTTATAATTTTGTAGTGAACATGAAAGTAATCACTTTTCAAGTTATTTAATGCAAATAAGATTAAAACAGTGTCTGTAGTAAGATAATGCCATTAGCGAAAACCCTGGCCCGCCTTTCGTCACGAGCCTTTCCCAGGCATCTTAAGCAACTAAAGGTCACAATAACTATGTATTATATATAAATAGTAAACAGTATCAATGTGAAATTCGGCTTGCCAACAATCTTTTCGTGTGCATATGCAGTAGGCCTACTTTAAAATTTGAGATGAAATCCTCACCTTTCAGAGTACAAAATATAATTGTATGGTTTTTCCCCAAGGATTATTATAATTAAACATTGTTAATCTTAGAACATTCAACACGGAATGCTTTCTTTTCTCTCATGGTTTATTTTGGCTAATTATTAATTGACAAACAGAAAATTGCAGAATATAATACGAGTATGTATGTTGCCTCCAGTGTTAAAAAATCTAAGGTAAATAGAGGTACAATATTTTAAATATTATGACTTGGTCATCTTATTCTTCTGAATTACAATATTTTAGTGAGACTACATATTGACATGGAACGAGGCAGCTCGCGGACCTTACGAGCGAACTATAAATAATTCCTGATGAAATCTCAAATCTGGAGTTCTAACGTTGAGAGCATTAAGAATAGTCGATGTTTGCCATAAACCACCAGAGTGAGCCAACTTCTGTAGTTTCAGCATCGACAAGAGGTAACTTGTCGATGCTTATTACAATATTATCTACAACAACTACTTACAAAAAGCTCTTAGATTACAACTTAATAGATATAAGCACAGTTTCGAAAGCTCTTTCGTTAAGATCATGAGTATTGTGGTCTTTAAGTATACATTTATCTCATTTATATTGTGCTGAAGCATCAGTAAACATTATTAGAAAACAATAATACCATAAAATAAGCTAACGTGTTGTGTTGTAGCAAGATTATTAAATAATACGTAATTAAACTGTGCTCTTATTAAAGTATTAATGGGTACCGAATGAAATATTCATTATAGAATTTATTCTCTTACATTTCAAATCTGATATTTGATTCAATATTATTTTATTATTACAACATTATTTTATATAATGGGCATTATTTTTCTTCTAAACTTGATTATTCCTTGCATTTGTTATGACACCTCATATCTATGAAATTATGAAGTACTAATTAGCTAAAGTAAGAAATATAACTAATTCCCACAGCAAATATTGATCCCAATTTAAACTATCTAGTTTGGATGTGATTGATATACAGTTGTGTAAATATCAATAAGTAATCTTAGGTATGGAAACTCCAAATTTTGATAAGGAGTCGTGTAAATATATTATTTCATTAAACATCATAATACGTCATAAGTGAAACTTATCTTTAGGAAATTTAGACGGTATAAAAGTTTGATACCGTCATTTGACTATGTTCATCCTTTGGCTCTTCAACCAAGTTTCCAATAAATACATACACATCCAATACATTCAATAGTTTAACTTAACAGTCAGATGCCCCTTCTTTTCTCAGTTATGCTTTTGTATACTTTTCATGTTGCATTAATCTAAACACCAATCATTATTGTACAGCCATACAAATATCTACCTACATTACAGCTTCACACTCATATATTTAGTTGTATTTCTTTCTTTAGTTTACGTGCTTTTTGATACTTCTTAGACAATTTGCATTTTAACTACACAAATTTATTGACATTCTGTCTTTTAAATCCTATTTGTTACATTTCAACAATTAACATTTCATTCTATTTATTCACAAATTCACATTATCTACCTACACTTCTGCATTGTCACTCTCAACTCACGAACGAGTAACTAACGCGCCTATGAAAATTCTCTCATTTCACATACGTGTCACAGCTAAAGTGCGAGTTGCTGTAAATTGTTTGTGCGTTCACAATTGTAGTGCCGCCACTGGTGCAGGCCGAACAGTGATGGCTCACGTGGGGCCCGCGGTGGCTTCGCTCACCGATTGTCGGAGGCCGCTCTGTGAGTGGTGGGCGACGGGTTGTGCGGCGGGGTTCGTGTGCTCCTCGTCGTTGAGATTGTGCCCGGAGCCCGGCTCGGGTTCGGGCTGGGGGTCGGTTTCGACGGGCTCCTCGGGCGGCGCGGCGGCGGGCCGTACGTCGAGCCGCGGCCGCGGCGAATAGCGCGGCGTCAGCGCAATGCCCCCAACGACTGGGTGCGATTTAAGACTCCCCCCTGGAGGACGTCGTGCATCATGCGCTCGTTCTCCTGGCGAACTGCCGACAAACAAACCACAAGCTTAACCATAATAAACATTTGTGGAAGGTTGGGGAGGACTTTGCCAGGAACCACAATTGTACTTAGACTGTGGGGTTAGTCTACAATTGATGTATATGTTTCTAGGGCAGGTATGTATGTAAAACACGGTTATTTACTTGAAAAGGTATAGGTACACAAAAATCGGTATTTCATACGAGTACAAGAGGTTAACTGATTCTATAGGGGCATTGTAGTATTATACGGGCAAAGTACATTCAGGAAATTCAAGATGAGAATACACATGTCTAATGTTAGTACAATAAAATTATTAACTCTTATAGTTACATTGTTATTAAATATCAATTTGGTAAATATTAGAAGCTTTTGCGAAAACGTTAGATAGATATTAATTACATCTAAATAAAAAATTCTAGAATATATGTATATTAAGTATATTCCAGAATTTTTGATAACCCAGATTGTATTAATAAACAGATTTATTTATGGTGAAAATAAAAAAGAAGTATCTAAAAATCCCAAACCTAATTGTCAAAGCTATTATGAAATTGAATCATTTTCCTCAAAGTTCAAAATCCAAAGAAAAAAGTCCCTCATATAATTTGTGCAGCCATGCGATCGCATCGGGATAAAATTTCATAATTTAATTTTGCCTTAAGGTGCATTTAAAACGAGATATCATGGTCCTTAGAGAAGGAAGTTCAGACGCATGAAAACCGCTACCGAATTTCGGTATGTACTAATTATTTCATTAAGTACCAATCATCATATTATATCAGCCTTTAACTATCCACTACTGAACATAGGCCTTTCCTTATGGAGGGGTTTTGCCAGTAGTTGCCACGCTTGGCAGATGAATTGGCAACTGCAGTAGGGCGTAGTGATATTTTAAGCGAGACACTGCTGCCTATCCCCCGACTATTAAGTTCCCTCAGTCACCTCTTATGACACCCACGAGAAAGGAAGGGGTGATCTATTCTATACCAGGACCAAACGGCATTAAGTACCAATGGTTTATATTACATAAAAATGTATATCGTTTTTAATTTAAAACAATCATAAAATTTCACTAAAATAAAAAAAAATAAAAAACAAACGTATCTATCCATGTTTTTTATAAAACTCAATATCATTTCAAATCGGAAAGAAAATGATATTATTGGATACAATAGAAGTCCAATGTATCAAACATAATATCATTTTCTATACTGAACAAAATAATAGAACGGAACTAATCACAATGGAACTGTCGTCAGACACTCAATTTATTAATTAGGAACGAACAGACGTTTGCCGACTATTAATAAAAATGAATACACACACGTACAAGATGAAATATAAAATAATTACATAAATAATGGATTATCTATCATTATATAGTTGATAATTTAACATAATTCGTATTATAGAAAAATATATATTTAAAAAACTAAAAAAAATATTTTATTAAAAAAAAGTTTATTTATTTAATTGTTCATAATTTAATTGTTATTTATTTAGTGACTGAACACTACTCTTCTGTAACACTGTGATGCTTAGATATGATAAATTACATACAGAACTACTAAATAACTTGATTTAGTTGATTGATAATAATGTGTGAGTACATCATAATATTAGATTACAGACTAAGGAAAATATGTATTCGTATCTTTTTATATTATTTATGAATGGCGGAAGAAATAATGGATGACTATAAGGAATGCCCACAGTCGGTTGCAGTCTTGGTAAGCGTGGCATTAAATAGCATACGCCAAGATGACATCAAATCAACGCCTGTCTGTCACCAAAATTATATAATGTTTCACTTCATATTTCTAGATTAAGATTTAGTTTTTCTATAATATTTTAATTGAAAAAGTAAAATTATCTCCTAACCTCTGGCAGATTATACATAAGACATGAACAACAAAAAAAAAAAACTTATGGAAATAAAATAATTCATTTTTCTGCATGACCACACAGTTTACGAACGCAACTCTTAGAGAAAAACGTTCTTGACAGCTCACTTTTTCCTCTTCCCTCCTCCCCTCCTCATTTAGTAACTTTTTTAGGTAACTTAGTAAGTTTCGTGAAATTCATAAATATTTTATACGTCCAGCGATTAGGAGGAGGATAATTAAGTGCGAGTAAATATTGCTGTGTGGTCCTGACGTAGAATGGGCCACTCCTTCATTTCTCATGGGTGTGGTAAAGCGACTAAGAGAACTTAATGGACGAGGAATGGGTAGCAGTGTCTCTCTTAAAATATCACCAGAGCCTAAATGCGGTTGCCAACCCGCCTGCAAAGCGTGGCAATTACTGGTAAAACCCCTTTTATGGAGGAGATCTATGTTCAGCAGTGGATAGTTAACTGTTATGAATGAATAAAAGTTTGTCCAGATAATGGATGCAACTTTAGGCAAATACGGAATATATAATAGTTTTATAGATTTTTATTGAATTAAGATTTCAAATGCAATCAAAATATTTTATAAACAATTCCTCAACCGTACTATTACTTACGTACGAAGGCGGTCGCACGGAAAAGACTATACCAATAGCACTCGTGTAAATAACTGTTATGGTGAGCGTACAGCTATCTATCTAGTTCTTCGACTTATTAACGAACTACCCACCGATGTACGGGATAATATTACTATTAACAACATCAAGTGTAAATTAAAACAATATTTCTTGCATGATATTAATACAAGTTAAATAGTCTTAATGTATTTAGCAATAATATAAACCTACGTGGTTTCTGAATGCTAATATAACACACTTTCTGTAATTCTGTATTTTTGTAATAATCAAAAATAGAAAAAAAAACTAATCGATTTAGTATGAAAAATTCAAACATTATTTTCATATTTCTATCCCATGCTTCTTTAGGAATGTTGTTTAATACCATGAATATTTTTGTTCGATTTCGGCTTTGTCAGATCTGTTTTGTTTCACCTTCTATAAAAAATATAGGGGACAAATACCTAAACGATATCTGTACATAAACACATCTATATTTTCATCGAATTTACAAGGTACAGAGAAATAACACCTAAGTTCTCAGGAATGGCAACGCATGGGGGATATCATGGGCGAAACAGCATACTCGGTCATGTTCATGATACTGCTCATGTCTATAGGCTACGATTACCACTTTCCATCAGCCGGGCCAACAGCTTGTTTACCGTTCTATGTAGCATAAAAACACAACTGATAATGAAGAAGATGTATTATCAGGCTTTTATGTCAATATAACTTATTAATTTGTTAATAATGTCCCGCAAAATAACAATATTTTTTTATGCAATAAGAAATGTTTTATAGTTGATTTGATTTGAAATTGACGGAACATAATAGAAAGCGATACAAGGCTGTTAAACAGGAACCGGACGATGGATATCATAGAATACACTGTATGCTTATGGTATCCCTCATACGTTGCTATTCCTGAAGACTAATCTGTTATGCCTCCGTATCCTAAAATTTCACGGCCATATCCCACTCTTCAAACCGAAACAACTATATAATTAAAATCGAATTAATTATCAATAAAAAAAAATTACGAACCGAGAATCTACTTCATTCTGGAGCTGTAAATTATTAGATAATTTCAGTTCCATGAATAGTCAAATTATCACCTGTTTAATAATATACCTACAATGAGATTTATTCATTATCAAGTAGATGCAAAACTAGTAAAGCGACATTAATTTATCCTAAACAAATATTGGGCTGAGGTGAGGATCTGGCGCTTGACATATCAAGGACAGGGCTGTCAACTACGGAAATTAACAGGCCGTGGTAGATTTATTATCTTGTCTGGGGACTAAATTGACGGGTTGTTCCAGTTATCAGGTGGTTTTTGGGCTTATTTATTATATAATCTTTTATAATATTAAATATATATAAACAACCTGGTTTGTTACTTTTTTATCTTGATCAATATTTAACTATAAATAGATATTTTGTACGATCCAGTAGCATTTAGTACGAAGATTAAGTTTCGATAGATTATTTAATTATGTGAAATGTTATTGTATAATATGTTTTTAAAGTCATTTTAGAGTTTAATACTAAGCAAATTATCATTTATGTATATATTATATATAATTTAATATAATGTTATATATAAATAAAATAATAGCGTACATTCATGCAATAGTTACTACTCAAAAGTAGATGTAAAATTTAGAATTGCTTTCGATATCGGGACTATGTTTTATTTTTAGGACTTTAGAAGTTAATTGCAATGATTCATCACAAAGTTGATATTTGTACGTTTCGAATTTCAGATATATCATGGTACATTGCTCAGAGAAAGTACATTAGTTTATTAAATACAATGATGCAACAGAATTTAAATCAAATCCTGAAGGAAGATTCCTTCCTACAGGATACAGAGGTCCTTTATGTTACTCTTCAAATTGAAACAATAAAAAACGAATTTATTTATATATAATTTTGTGCATCAATAATCATACAATGAAGAGAGAAGAAACAATTAGAGGGCACATTACCCAATATATTAATTGGTTCATTCATATATTATAAATTAAGGTAAATTGGTGCTTTGCCAACCCTGGATGGGACAGCTAAATTGGTTAAGATATAATATTGTTAAAACTTCGGTGCCAGTAACGCGACAATTAAGGTTGCCATCGCCAATTTATTCCATTTTATTTGATAAAAGACATTTACATTTTCGTGGAAGCTTGGATCAAATATCTACACGTATTATTTTTTAAAAATGAATATCGACATTTTATTTTATACGTTGAAAGATTAATTAACTGTTAAATTACGATTGATGACCAGAGTTTTATGTTCTCACAAACATAGACCACTAGGTACTTCTTGCGGCTTTGCCCGCATGTAACAGTATATAAATATAAGCACGGACTTATAGGTATAAATTATATATGTATATATATTATAATGTTTAAACTCGTGTCCAGTTAATTTAGATAGCAACGCATTGAATAGTCATTTTTCGACGCCTCCGGTAATTATGGAG